GGAAACCATGTCCTCACTGGGGAAAGAAATTTTGCGAGATGCAAAATTTTGGCACAAAAAGGACAAGGACTTCCAAAACAATGAAAAAGTTGAGGTTTCAAAACAAAAAGAAGCATAACACAGTTTTATAACCAAAACAAAAAAATGGAAAATAACTTATGACTTGATCATAAAACTAGGAAATCTAACCTATTAATGTCCTTAATCATCCTCATCGACATGACACAAAAACAAAGAACAAAGGAAAGCATTTCATTAAAAAGATGAACATGTTGATAGCTTAGAAAAGATGCATTATTGAAGAAGCTAAGAACAAGCTACAAGCTAGAACAAGGAAGCATGCAAGCTTCAACTTTCAATATACGCAAAAACACAACTTATATACATCCCAACAACTAACCTAAAACTAAAACTAAACTAAACTACCTAGCAGGCAAACTAAACTAAACAACCAAAAAAAACTAACCTAATATACAAGATCAAGATTAACATATATAGTATCAACGTAAAGAGAGAGAAATACTCCCCTATTCATCATCGGAAGACTCATCGTCGGTGGAATCGGTAGGACGACGAGAAGAAGATGGTAAGCCGGCCGCAAGCTCATCGGGGAAAGAAGGTGCTTCATCACCATATATCTTATTGAGGAACTCACATGTGGCATGTTGAGTAGCTAAAAGAAACTCGTACTTGTGTCTAACCTCGTCATATTGCTCCCTAGTCACCACTCTTCGTGTCTCGAGATCCGTGGCGGTAATGGGAGAATCTTCATGTCAAACAAGCAAATTTTTGTTTTCGTTGATTTATTATTGCATAGTTTTTCTTTATTAAGCTTTGACTTCAAGTTATATATTGTTGTCAAGTCTTTAGTACCAAGAGCATTAGGCTCAAGGTTTGCATCTTATCTTTCCTTGTTCATATCTTGTTAATTATTCTTGTAATATCATTTGGTATTTGTTTTCTACCATTTGATTCTTGTATTTGGTATCATCTATACCATTGATCCCTAGTAAAAAAATAAATAAATAAATAAATTATTTTGCATAAGTTGCTTGTAGGCTTGTGCTTGCTTGTTAAAAACATGATTCGCCACGAGCAATCAAACGAGCATCTCCAAGAGGGTACCCACACCAACATCTACCCTACCAAAAAGAGAGAAGCCGAGAGGTCAAGTAAGGAAGTGAAATGAGAATTATATTCTTGTTTTACTAACCTTGTCTTTTGTAGTTATGGAGCAACAAAGGAGGTCTCGTAAAACTCCAAGAGAATAAACAAGTCAACGATACGAGAATTATAATAATCATGTTTTTAATGTAGCTCGTCAAAGGAAGAAAGATCACCGCACTAGTGGCTACATTGGACATTCAACCCCTAAACTTCCAAATTTCCATGGAAGTACGAAGCCACAAGAATATATTCATTGGGAGGACCAAGTCGAGAGCATCTTTGCAAAACACCATTGGAGTGAAAGCACCAAGGTAAATCTTATTATCACTTGTTTTAAAGATTATGCTGTAACATGGTGGGATGCTTTGTTTTTTAGTAGGAAAAGGAATCGAGAAAGTCAAATCACCTCATGGAGAGAACTCAAGCCCCTAATGAGGAGATAATTTGTTCCTATGTCATTAGTCAAGTTGAAAAACTTGTGACAAAAGGACAAAAGTGTTGAAGCTTACTACGGTGAGATGTGCTCATTGTTTGAGGAACTTAACATCTATGAAGATGAGGAGTCCACCATGGATCAGTTCTATAATGGAGTCGATGGAGAAATCGCCAAGGTGATTGTGGAAAGAGAAGAATTTTGACCTTGTATTAGGTCGGAAGAAATGCTACACCTTGCCAAGAGGATTGAAAGAAGACATCAACAAGAATCTTCAAGGTATGTTAATCCTAAACTTAATGATCATGAAATTCCTACATTAGGAAAGATTAATTTGCCTACTTTAGTCCCAATAGTAGAAAATAAAGAGCATGGCATACTTTGTGGAACTATGTATGGTAACCTACTAATAGTGCTAGAAAAATATTGCATAACTTTATCTCTATTATTAAGGAAGAAAGTAAGATGTTTGAAAATGAAATGCTTTGTGATGATATGCATGTTGATCCTATTTCATTGGATTGCAAAGTATTACATGATTGTATGCCTATTGTTGAAAATGTAAGTGGTATACTTGAATAAGAAACACCTTGTGAATCCACACATGAAATTCTCATTCTCATGGATCACGAGTTGTTGCATGACATTTTATCTTTTTGAAAAAGAAGGTGGTGAAATATCTACTCTTGCACCATTAATACATGAAGAATCAATTGTTGATGTTTGTGAGTTGGTAAATATGAGAGAAAATGAAGAAGAGTTGAGACCGAAGAATGAAGAGAATAATAGTAAGATCATTTCTAATCGGCCTCACAAGTCAAATCTTAAGAGAGTGTTTAATATATATCCATTCTTTCAAGCTAACATTATTTTCCCAAGAACTTGTACCCTTCTAAGACTTTTTACAGGAAGTTTCAACTTTTCACATCAATCATGGTTGAGCAAAGACTCGTGACCAGCCAAGAGATGATATGATTATATTTTGCGAAAAGCCCTTGAACAAAATCAACCCAAGAGAAGAGCACCATTGCACGTTCAATATCCACAGCGCACGCACAAATGCCATCATCACCGCGCTAACCTCAGAAAAGCTCACCCTCCACGTGCATGCGATGATGATATGATCATATTTGGCAAAAAATCCTTGGAACAAAATCAACCCAAGAGAAGAGCACCATTGCACGTTCAATGTCCACAGCGCACGTGCAAATACCATCATCACTGCACTAACCTCACAAGA